CCCATTCAAACTACACAGGTTCAGATTCAAACTTTATTTGAAATACAACTCCCTTTTCTAATTGAGCGAAACAAATGCAATTACAAAATACAAATGGTGCAATTTCACCACTGTGGGAGAAAAAAGAGCAATCAATTAAAAATAAAAGTCCAGCATAAGTTTGAAATTATGCAAATGCAGATTTAACATTCCTGTTAATATTCATCGGCGTACACAAATTAAAGTTTGTCTTACAATTACCACATTTTGTATTTAATGATAACCGCAGGTTTCAGCCTATACCAAAGCACAAAACAATACTAAATCATAACCATTAATTGATAGTCTCCCTGCACTTCATGTAGAAAATTTTAAACCTCATTTTTCATGATATGGTTAGATTTTATTGTCCGGTGCTGCAAAACGTCGTCACGCGTCACCATGTCACATAGTACGAAAACCTTGCAAGAGCAAGACGACTTGACAGATGGTACAGCACCTCTCAGCCGGCTGAACAAACTGGAACCGCCTCCGTGACGACACAACTTTGCCCTTATTGGCTGAAGAACGTGACGTTTGTATCCCAGGAAGTTCCGATGCGTTATCTGCTATTTCTCCCGAAAATCACGTAAAGCAGTGAGAACTGGTTTTCAGTTAATTTACCTGGTAAAATAAAGTTTAAATAAATTACATAAATGCTCTAATAGTACACGTAAGTTAGTGGTTTATATATTATCTACTGTAATGTTGCGTGGCTTTATTTGTTTAATCGTCCAGTCTGTGAAGAGATTTTTTTGCCCCTGAGGCTATCCCATTGGTGCCCCCCCTCCCCCCCGCAATACCTCTGCGCCCCCCTAGGGGGGCGCTCCCCCAGTCTGGGAACCACTGCATTAAGCCATCAGGAGATGTGAAAGCCGTATTTCACAGTCAAATGGCAGTTTAAGAGGGAAAATGCTCATTAGGCATTAAGACTACTCTTAAAATGGTCAGCATGTGAATTTTTGTCTTTTTACATCTTATATTGATCTTTTTCTGGATCACTGTTCTGTGTCTCACTAACTGCCAGGTCCATGCTGTCAGTGTTGGCATAACCAGCTGTTCACCTGTCTCCACAGCTGTATACCTCTCTTCTGTCTGTCTGTTTCTGTGTGTCCTGATGTACTGACAGGTAGAAAAGCCCCCTGGTTCTCATTAGTCTTGTGTCACTAGTGAGAAACCATTGACTGTTCAGAACCTTATAATGAGAACTGCAGACTAAGACACTGAGTGGATGGTAAGGGGCTTGTATGCAAGGAGATTTTGTTAATTTCTTTTGCATCACACGCTACCAGATGAGGTGAACCTGAATAAAACCACGGAGTCATCTAAGACCCCGCTGGAGAATGGCAAGGAGGAGGACCAGAGGCAGGAGGAACTGGAGAAGAGCATGAAGGCTCTGTCCACCAACGAGACATCGCCCGCCCCACCCACAGCACCCCCAGCCGCGCCTCCCTCCAAGCCCACTGGCCCCACCCCAGAGGGCTCCCCCTCCAAATCCCCTTCCAAGAAGAAAAAGAAATTCAAGGCACCATCCTTCCTTAAGAAGAGCAAGAAGCAGAAGGATAAGTCAGAAGCCTGAGAAGTTACTGGGATGTACTTACTGAGTACTCAGAGTACTCAGTTATGCATATGCTGACAGCTGTCTATGTATTTACTCAAAGACACAGTTGGTCTTACACTTCCGCTCTCTACGCTCATCTGTCACTCACATTTTGATCTGTTCTGCTGTTCGTTTTTGTGACAAAGCTGCAATTTCACTACAATCTCTAA